GCGTTGGGTTACTCAGTGTTGTAACTTATTCTGTGTAACAGTATAGTACTCTGTTAACATTCTTGCTTTAGAAACAATTTCGAGGAGCGAGTTGTCTTAATATGTACTTAACATGCACATTAATGTTGTAAATGCTAAATGCATAATCATACATGTCCATTAATAGTGCAGAATCCCATATTTGTAAGCCATGTTAGACTTAGTCACTTGTTAAATATTGAATTATCAGCTGTACTTGTGTGTTAATGAACTTTTCTTGGATTTTAATATCGGTAACCCAAGAAAAGCACATTAATTAACACACAAGTACAGCTGATAATTGATAAATGTTACTGGTATTGAGGGAGTCGTGGTGTGTCATGGCGTTACATTATCTGCCTCATATGTAAAGGTTGCATTCATGCAGGTCGGTGTTCAATCCCCGACTGTCTACAAGTGGCTGGGTACCATTCCTGCCCCCCCCTGTCCCATCACAAATCCTTATCCTGATCTCCCTTCCCAGTGCTATATAGTCTTAATGGCTTGACGCTTTCCCCCTGATAGTTCCCTTCCATTCTCAAGTGTCTCAGTGTGGAAAGTGTCTCCTCACTTCCAAAGTGTCTCTATTCTCAAGTCCATCTCCATCCTCCATTCTCAAGTGTGTCCATTCTCAATTTATTATGAAGACATTTGTTACTTGTCTAGTTTCTCTTCTTCTTAAGCTATCCTTTAAGGCCTCGTCTGGCAGTGGAAATTGATATGGCGAATGAATTAGTATGATAATTAGGCTTGTAAAGATCATTATATCATTCCACAAACATTAAAGAATTCTTGTACTGCATCAGGTACTGTAGTTTGTCTAGAACACACACACACACACACACACACACACACACACACACACACACACACACACACACACACACACACACACACTCACACTCACACTCACACTCACACTCACACTCTCACACGCATTCACACTCACTCACATACGGCTTGTCACCTCATAGGGTTCTTTGTAATGATGATGTGTTGATAAACACACACACGACCCTATGCAACCGGAGTAAACAGCTTATATACAACAACGAATATTCTGTGAGCAGATCTGTTCATTTGGAATAGTGTGATATTGTATGTCGCACCGTGTGTATAATAGTAAGCTATCTCTTGTGTGCACTTGTGTGTTGCTGCCCCTCTTGTCCCTTGTGTGTTGCTGCCCCTCTTGTCCCTTGTGTGTTGCTGCCCCTCTTGTTCCTTGTGTGTTGCTGCCCCTCTTGTCCCTTGTGTGTTGCTGCCCCTCTTGTCCCTTGTGTGTGTAATTATATGTTGCCCCTGATGTGTACGTATATGGTGCCCAATGTGTGATATCATGTGCTACCCCCCTTTGAGTGTAATTGTGGGCTACACCTCGTGTGTAATGAGATGCTGCCCCATCCCCCCCCCCCTGTGTAATAACATATGCTGCCCCCTTGTGTGATATATGCTTCCTCGTATTTACACTTTACGTATTTACACACACTGGTAAACTTAGCAAGTAGGAATATGACACATGTCAGGGGCACCTTGGATTAATAATCCTCTGGATTCACAACCCATGAACATTGGGTTCGAGCATCTGCCCATTATCTGGTGGCAACCCACAAAGGCTTACTTCAGGAAGCCATTAAGGGCAGCCACCAGAAAGAGGAATTTCAGGCATTTCATTACATTGAAAGCTGGTTTTGTCTACTAGGTTACTGCGAGTCGGTGCCCCATATTTGACAATATATTACGCTATAAATGCCAATTTACAGTATAGTAGCACATTGTCAAGAATACTATCTTTTTAGTTTTAATGAATGGAATTGTTACAAGTATATCGGATAATAATAATATGATAAGACGTTTTGTAATGTTGCTAAGCATCGTAGGTTGACTTATCAGCCCCCCACTGTATATATATATATATATATATATATATATATATATATATATATATATATATATATATATATATATATATATATATATATATATATATATATATATATATATATATATATATCAATATGGTGTAAAGACAAATTATACAATCTGTTTTATTTCGTGAGGTCATCAAAATGATAAAATAGGGCCTCAGATGTATTCTCTGTAGAATGCCTAACCTGGTAACATTGTTCAATTTGTAACAATGAATAAAAACATATGTTGCATTGCTGTTGTCACCTGTTGATTAATGGATTGCAGTATGCTAATTTGATGTGCACCATTACAGTGTTATGGAAACTAATAAAGGGCTCCATTGTACACCAGCCATGTTTTTTTTTATCAAAAGATATTTTTCCCACTATTTCTATATATTGTTACTTTGTCATTATAGATATTATATAGAAAGGCACAAGCAGGCTGACAAGCTGCCCATTTATTTAACAATCATATGACCCCTTTTGTTCATCACAATTAAGTGAAACTTTGTGTATGAAAGGATATCATTTATCGCAGGCAAAACACGTACAGTATAAGATATCATTTATCACAAGCAACACACACATTATCTAAGGCTGAAAGGATCATAATTAAACAAGTGTAACTAGTATGTTATCTAGACATGAGAAGATGATAGTTGAAATAAAATAGGCCTAGTGACAGACATTAACATTAATAACAAAAATGTGCCCCCAAAGTACTTCAGTCTGTGCTAGATAATTACTGGACGATCTCATAAGCCAGTTAGGCGCACAAAATATTTTCTGAAATACCCCATAGCAGTAATCTTCACCTTCACATGTAGTTCACATCACAAGAGTCTACTTTCAAGTGTGGTCTAGAGCAGACACTTGCGAGATACTGTACCAACGCTCAGTGCGCTCAACTCACACCAACGTATCACCGGTGTGATACTAACTGGCTTATGAGATCGTCCAGTAATTATCTAGCACAGACTGAAGTACTTTGGGGGCACATTGTTGTTATTAATGTTAATGTCTGTCACTAGGCCTATTTTATTTCAACTAATAAACCGAATATGTGAACTACAGATAAACACATTGAAAATACTTCATTCCTGGTATAGTCACTTTTAAAACAGAGATGTTATTAATAAATGAAGGTTATTCTCAATATCTTGAGGTTATCTTGAGATGATTTCGGGGCTTTAGTGTCCCCGCGGCCCGGTCCTCGACAAGGCCTCCACCCCCAGGAAGCAGCCCGTGACAGCTGACTAACACCCAGGTACCTATTTTACTGCTAGGTAACTGGGACATAGGGTGAAAGAAACTGTCCATTGTTTCTCGGGATCGAACCCGGAACCACAGGATCACAAGTCCAGTGTGCTGTCCGCTCGGCCGACCGGCTCTCTAATATAATAATAATGGTGACTGAAAGTGAGAACATGTAATATTTGCAAAATAAGGTCAAGAGCATGAATCATTGTCATAATTCTAAGAAAGATATCACTGCAACGAGTCACTGAGACGTTTGGATCTTAAGTACACAAACACAATTAGCTCGAGGCCAGTGAAAAGCAATATTAGCATAAGAGAAAATGGTGGAACAATGGGTGCCTTGGTGGCAGGCGAGCAAGAGGCTGTATACACACACGGGGTGTATATAGACACACACACATTGTATGTGTGTATGTGTGTGAGAAGGGGGTTAACTGTGTGTATAGAAGGGGCGAGAGTGTGGTTGTGTTTGGAATGGGGAGTTATGGGGTGGGGGGGGGATGGAAGAGTGTGTGTATTCACCTAGTTGTGCTTGCGGGGGTTGAGCTCTGGCTCTTTGGGCCCGCCTCTCAACTGTCAATCAACAGTTACTAACTACTATCCCCTCCCCCCCCCCCCACACTCACACATCCCTAGGAAACAGCCCGTAACAGCTGTCTAACTTCCAGAGGTAACAGGGGGTATGAGGGTGAAAGAAACTCTGCCCATTTTGTTTCTGCCATCACCGGGGATCGAACCCAACCCCTAGGATTATGAATGCAGAGCGCTGTTCACTCAGCTATCAGGCGACCTAATTTAGATACGCTGAAATGAATGTATAATATGGACACGTTTATACAAGCAGTTGATTCTTAAGAGAGAGAGAGAGAGAGAGAGAGAGAGAGAGAGAGAGAAGAGAGAGAGAGAAGAGAGAGAGAGAGAGAGAGAGGAGAGAGAGAGAGAAGAGAGAGAGAGAGAGAGAGAGAGAGAGAGAGAGAGGAGAGAGAGAGAGAGAGAGAGAGAGAGAGAGAGAGAGAGAGAAGAGAAAGAGAGAGAGAGAGGAGAGAGAGAGAGAGAGAGAGAGAGAGAGAGAGAGAGAGAGAGGAGAGAGAGAGAGAGAGAGAAAGAGAGAGAGAGAAGAGAGAGAGAGAGAGAGAGAGAGAGAGAGAGAGAGAGAGAGAGAGAGAGAGAGAGAGAGAGAGAGAGAGAGAGAGAGAGAGAGAGAGAGAGAGAGAGAGAGAGAGAGAGAGAGAGAGAGAGAGAGAAAGAGAAAGAGAGAGGAGAGAGAGAGAGAGAGAGAGAGAGAGAGAGAGAGAGAGAGAGAGAGAGAGAGAGAGAGAGAGAGAGAGAGAGAGAGTGTGTGTGTGTGAGAGTGAGTGAGTGAGTGAGTGAGTGCACGGGCCAGATTCACGAAGCAGTTACGCAAGCACTTACGAACGTGTACATCTTTCCTCAATCTTTGCCGGCTTTGGTTACATTTATTAAACAGTTTACAAGCAGGAAAACTTGCCAATCAACTGTTGTTATTGTTATAAACAGCCTCCTGGTGCTTCGGAGCCCATTATAACTGTTTAATAATTGTAAACAAACCCGCCAAAGATTGAGAAAAGATGTACAGGTTCGTAAGTGTTTGCGTAACTGCTTTCGTGAATCTGGCCCCTCAGCCACTTAAAATACTCTCACAATATCGAACAAAAACAAATATATTCGACGAGGCTTACAAGAAGGTCCAGCAGAACCGGAATGTACAAATTTCTCCCCTGAGGCGGAGCGAGAGACGGAGAAAAAAGAATAAGAAAGAGGAAGAGGTCAAGGAGGCGCCAAGCACCATTA